TTCGTTTTTGTATTTTTTCAATTCCAATGCTATGGATTTTGTAGTGCGGATTCCAAATTGGTCAGCAATATTCTAGTTTACTTCTAACCAGACTACTCAAAAGTTTGATTGTAGCAGAGGGCTGCCTGAACTCTATGGAATTTCTCAATACAAAACCCAGTGACGTCGTAGCTGAGGTGATTATGCTATCGATATGGTTGGTAAATCTTAATTCGCTGTCTAGTATAACGCCTAAATCACGTATCGCTCGAACTGCGGTCAGTTTTTAGTATCAACATAGTATTAACTTTGTGTGTAATTTTGTTTTCTGTTAAATCTAATAAGTTAACATTTTTTACCATTCAGAAACATTTGGTTGCTATCACACCATTGTATAAGTCGGTTGAGGTCATCTTGCAATAGTTCAGTGTCAGAGTTGTTTATAATGGTTTTTTTTTGAGTTTTTTTGAGACAAACCTTTGAGTATTGAAATATCGAAACAATGTCATTTATAAAGATGTTAAAAAATACTGGACCTAAGTTTCAAGCCTTGCGGTACACTGGAGTAGGTAATATATGGCTGCGAGGAGTATCCATCAATCAGCACGGTTGAAGGTCTACTTTGGAGGTATGATGAGGTCAAAGGAGCAGCAAAAGATTTTGTACATCTGTATATAAATATTGGCGGAATGCCGTTTTTGTTGTATTTATTCTTTTAGCCTTTTCTCAATTTCTCATTTAGATACGTAAATATTGCCTATATATTTTGTTTGTTTTGAAGACTGGTTGTGTATCAAAAATTTTACTAATATCATCCTTAATAAAACCGATGAGAAATTACAAGCAAACCAATCACATATTTCTTGCCTACTGCTTGCCTTACGATCATTCAGAGATATTTTATTAGGATAATTAGAGCCTTTACGACGCATGTTTTCCATATGTGTATAAAAATAGGTCGGTTTATTATTATTTTTATATAGAAGAGATTCGGCTCACCTGATGTTAAACGACTACCACCGCCCATGATCAACCGCAACACCAGGGGTGCTGCAGGTGCGTTGCCGGCCCTTTAGAAAGGAGTAAGCTCTTTTCTTAAAGGTCTCTAGGTCGTATTGGTCCGGGAAAATCGCTGGTGGTAAACTATTCCACAGAGAGGTCGTACGCGGAATAAAACTCCTTGTGAAACGTACAGTGGTGGACCGCCAAGCATCCAGATGGTGTGGATGGTATCGGGAGGTTTGCCGCGTAATGCGTTCACGAAATTTGGCGGCTGGGATTAATCTGAACCATTCCTCAGGGCATTCCCCGTGTTACATGAGAAATTATGTTTATTATTACATTATATATTATTGCTAATAGCTTCCTCCATGTGTAGAATTTAATTATAATAACATTTTTATTAGTTTATCGCAACCCTTCCTTAGGTAAGAAAATTTAATTTTATCTAAGTAGTGGATTATTGTATAATTTAACTAGCTTGCCAGGCAGACATTGTTCTGCCCTTTTCGACGACCACTTGTCACGTCCTATTAAAACTCCTTAAATTCGCAAAAAAAATTGTGGGTCACTCATGGGCAAAAAAACCATCCTATCTCTCAAGTTGAACCAAACTGCACACAGTGTGCAAAAGATATGGCCAAAAATTGTATGTACCTGTGCCTCAGACTGTACAGAGATGAAATCTACGTCATTTTAAAGTACAGATCTTCTATATAAAGAATTAGAAAAGTGCATGTAGCTACGAAGTAGTGGACAAAAGTTATGAACATTTAAAAAAGTTGATTTTGGCAGTCGGTTTTTATCATTATTACACAATGTAGATATTAATAAAGTTCCAATTCGTGAGTGTTATGTAGACTAATGTATATGCATGATGATTAGGATGCATCCTAACTGGTTTAGCTAAAAAAAAGCAAGGACAGCAGTTTTTTTAGTCCGTAAAATTATTATTTGTAATTAGTTTTTGTAGCATAACTATTATTGATCTTTGTAACTAGTTTTTGTAGCATAACTATTATTGATCTTTGTAACTAGTTTTTGTAGCATAACTATTGTTGATCGAAGTATATCAGACAGAAAATAATTAAACTTACGTATGACACCGTTTATAATTAGTGGAGCACTCGAGTGGGGCTACGGCACTTATTAAATAAAAGTAAAATACGACAAAACAAAAATACGAAGGAAAAGCGTACGTATATCATATATCGAAAAACAGCACGTAAGTCGGTAAACGTGAATCAGATCAAGTCGGACATTGACACTTTGACTTTTTTGATGCTTGACTATCCTATAATATAACACTACAAGTTTAAGCTGTTGCTGTATTAAACAAATAAATAAAATCCTATCTTTTAATGTATTTCGATTATTTTGATGTATTAATTCATTAATTGAAGGCTTGTTTTTATACATATCATAAAGTATTTTTATGAGTTTGGCTAATATTTTTTTCTACTCTGATCTTTTTAAGTATTATATGGCCACATTAAAGTTGCTATAGATTGACGTCAAAGAGAAGAAATCACTAATACTTTTAAACTTGATTATTTTTCAACAGCTGCTATGAAATGTTAATAGTTATTTAAAATTCCCTTTTTATTTTATTTAAAGTATTAGCAATAGTCTTATTTTTGTACAGCTTGCGGCACATTTTGGCCATCTCATTTGATCAAAATCGGTTAAGTAGTTTAGGAGTCCATCGCAGACAAACAACGTGACACATAATTTATATATTAAGATTTTATAATGATATTTGTATTTTCGTGAACCACATAGGATAAGAATTAGACGATTTGCACGATCTATGAACGAATTTGATTATAGCTACCTGCAGGATTTCGTAGAATTTCGATATCATTTCGTTTACATTATTAAAGTAAGCCTAAAGTTTGTAGCCAATTAACACTATTTAAGAATGGCTATATTGGAATCAAAATCAGCTCTTTTAAAATTGTGGGAACATTTAAAAAAAATTATAATGGTGGATGTATAATATATATGTTGCGTATAGGAAACTGACTTTTGACCACATTGATGTTTGCATTAGACAAGACTAGATCTAATATCTTTCCGCTTGCATTTTTTTAGTGTTATATTGATTCAGATCGTGCAAAGTGAAAAAATCTATTAAACTACTTTTAATAAGACAGATAGAGATACTTGGGGATGCGTACTGACTTAATAATAGGTTGAAGTGACCACGTGATTGAACTCATATTGAAGTCACGAAGTAGCAAAATTGAGTTGTTAGCCGTGCCTAGATTATTGTCATTTATGGTTTTCGTAGTATTATTCATAAATGTTTCCAGTGTGTTACGTGTACTGGGATATATACTGCGCACAGATGTAAATATTCCGTTAAATTACTAGTGTTAAAAGTAATCAATTGTGATCCATAAGTCTTCACCGAGACTTTCCCAACTGGTTTGTTGTGTTTCGTATGGTACGTGTAGAGATCCAGAGACCCTTTTTTACTGGAAACGAGGCATTCCATCTTAGTCCTCAAGGGTGACAACGCATCTGCGTTTTGATTCTTAGTCAGGGATAAATGTAGATGTCTATGGGCCACAGTATCCACTTTTTTTTTTTTATAGAAGAGGGGGCAAACGAGCATGTGGCTCACCTGATGTTAAGTGACTACCGCCGCCCATGATCAACCGCAACACCAGGGGAATTGCAGGTGCGTTGCCGGCCCTTTAGAAAGGAGTAAGCTCTTTTCTTGAAGGTCCCCAGGTCGTATCGGTCCGGAAAAATCACCGGTGGTAAATTATTCCACAGAGAGGTTGTACGCGGAAGAAAACTCCTTTTGAAACGTACAGTGGTGGACCGCCAAGCATCCAGATGGTGTGGATGGTATCGGGACGTTTGCCGTGTAGTGCGTTCACGAAATTTGGCGGCTGGGATTAATCCGAACAATTCCTCAGAGCACTCCCCGTGATAGATGCGATAAAATACGCAAAGAGATGCAACATCTCTTCGCAGCGCCAGTGAATCGAGCCGATCGGAAAGCACTCGGTCGTCAACGATTCGAGCCGCTCTGCGCTGGATGCGGTCAAGTGGAAGGAGCTGGTACTGGGGGAGCCCCAGCCCAGAGATGGGAACAGTATTCCATGAGCGGCCGAACCTGCGCCTTGTAAAGTTGCAGGCGGTGTGCCGGCATGAAATACTGTCCCGCTCTGCTGAGCACGCCAAGCTTTTTTAGAGGCCAATTTGGCCTTCTCTTCCAAGTGACCACGAAACTGCACGTCACTCGATATGTCGACGCCGAGGATTCCGATACTGGCTGAGGCAACAAGGGGAGTGCCTTGAAACTGAGGGGATACGACAAAGGGGTTCTTTTTAGCGGTTAACGCGCAAACTTGTGTCTTCTGGGGGTTAAACTGGACTAGATTTAGTCGCCCCCAATCCGAGACTCATTTATTGTCATTTATGGTTTTCGTAGTATTATTCATAAATGTTTCCAGTGTGTTACGTGTACTGGGATATATACTGCGCACAGATGTAAATATTCCGTTAAATTACTAGTGTTAAAAAACGTACAATTGTGATCCATAAGTCTTCACCGAGACTTTCCCAACTGGTTTGTTGTGTTTCGTATGGTACGTGTAGAGATCCAGAGACCCTTTTTTTACTGGAAACGAGGCATTCCATCTTAGTCCTCAAGGGTGACAACGCATCTGCGTTTTGATTCTTAGTCAGGGATAAATGTAGATGTCTATGGGCCACAGTATCCACTTACCATCAGGTGGACTGTGTGCTCGTTTGTTACTCTTATTCTATAAAAAAAGTGCAGACCATTTCATTTATTACGTCATGGTTTATAAACTATAAAATTTAATAAAATTATTGTTAGGGGTTTTTTCGTATTTATTAACGTGCTTTACAACCAAGAGCCCTATAATAAAATCCGTAAAATTAGTTTCGTAATTTCGTAATGTATAAGAAACCTTTGTTATGTCCAAGATAATATTTAACAATGTTCTAGTATTCTACCTATAAATGTGTCCAAATCTACTCTATTGTATTCTACATCGCATTTTAAACCATTGTCCGTCTTGCATTGTAAGGGTGAAAGTATCGGTGGAGAGTTTCACTGGTGTGCAGGTCTTCGCGCACGGAGATAATTCCATGTTCAGGAGAAGCTTGTACAGCATTACTTTCACCTCGCATAACGCAAACCTGGAACCTATTAAGAGCAATAAATTTCATGAAGTTACTAGTGAAAAGTCAGCATGGGAAGTTTTAGGTAAATATGTAGTTGATAGAATCAGGCGTTACTTTGCGGAAATCCATTATAATAAAAACACTTTTATTTAAATATGTAGGTGCTATAACCAATTCTATTTCTAAAACTGGTTCTATAAATATGTTAGTACCACATTACACCAATCTAGCAGTACAATAACGACATCAATGATAATTTCATCAAATAATTCGCCAAAATTTATTCCTATTAGGTACATGCAATTTATTAAAGTATTTTTCGTCTAGTAGTGTAAAAATATTCACTACCCTATATCGTCCTGTTGAAGTTATAGGCGTTAGAGAGAAATAAACCAGAGGGTGGACTAGGGAGTCTGTCAAATAACAACCAGAAAATAAAGAACTGTGGTTTCCAATAACTATAGCCTTTGTTAGGTAAATTATGGGGTGGCCAACGTTTATCAGTGGACATTGACAAATTCCAAAGTGGTTGGAGTTTAATAGGAGCTTACTCAACCAGCTTTAGTCCAGCTACAACATACATATTGAAATGTGATACAGTTTCTCTTACCCCAGATAATCGTTATGTGTACTTCATACGTGCCAGAAAAGCATATCCGTAATAAACCTAATCATGGGCACAAGTTCTTCTGCGCAGGGCGTCGCCACATAGAACAATGCAAACACAAGCCGATATGCTGCGTCAAGTGTGACATTCCTCAGTACTTATCCTGACTACGATATGTTTTAAATCTATTATTTAATAGTGGTTTTAGCACGAATGTCTCAGCTCGACCGGAAAACAGCCACGTTCACATAGTAATACAAACGTGAAATACTCACTTAATGGACACCATCAGAAACACAGGAGTATCTCTGATGGTGAGAGTAATTTTTACTGAAAACGAGGTATTCCGTATAAGTCCCCGATGTAAAAACACACCTTTATCTTGATTCTAAATCAAAGATAGATATAAGTAAATGTCTATATGGGTCAAAGCGTCTACTTACTATCAGGTGGACTGTGTGTTCATTTATCCCCCTTATTTCATTAATAAAATCATATAATGGCATCCAAAGGATGGGTATATAACCGTAACCATCGTTAATCAATACAAGGCGTCAAATGTCCAGACCAGCGAAGAGCAGCAGAGTCAAAGGTATGATACTGTGTTACTGCCATCTTGACGATTAAGATAAATCCAATCACTATGCATTCATGCCCGAAAACAAAAAAATACTATTTGTGTCTCTGCACAAATGTTGAATCCGACTAATATATGACCACAGGACCAGTGGCGTGACACGTTCTGAAAATAATGATGATATCCCTTGATAAATAACCTATTTTAATTTTTACATACTAACATAAGACAAGAGTCTGATCCACGCCATACTATCGAAAATTGCATTAGTTGTCGCTAGGATGTTTTGTGAGCTTTTAGGCATAGTGGGGCTGATATATCTCTTTAAAAAGGACCCAAAAAATTTAAAAAAAACTCACCTATACAATTCCTAGGGCCAAGACCAAATGGAAGGTAGGTAAATGGTTTAATAAGGTGTTTATTCTCTTCGGAGAATCTCTCTGGATCAAATTTCTCCGGATCTTGGTAGTATTTGAGATCGTGGTGGATTGCCCAAATAGGGATCATAATCGATTCTCCTTTACGAATCTGGACAAATATTGTATGAAGTCAATAATGATTTATTTGTAAGGTAATTATTTATAAATGGTTTATATCATATTTAGTATGATTTTTTAATTTAAAATAATTTAAAATTGATAAATTCGATCAGGCTTAATTAAATTACATAATCGAAATGTAATTTCTATCACTATACACTTTCGTCCGGCTCGAGGCGGGGTGGTACCACGGCCTCTCAGAATACTTGCGTGAAGTGGAAGGTCCGCTACTGTATTTTGTTTGCTAAGTGCAGGTGGCCAGAGGCTCAATTTCCTCCTCCTCCTCATCAAAATGGCAGCGGAATTAAATGTAAGACTACGCCAGGAGGGTACCAGCACCCCTGGAAAAACCCTCGCTGACATCCACGATCAAATTACTTTACTCCTAGTCGTGGGTGCTCAGGCTGCCCGTAGGATCGTCATAATAATACGTCATAAAAAATTTGTTTATTTACGACGTAACGATGTATTTTTTATATACGCCATAACAATGACGACTGTCATTATTGTGGCGTATTTTAAAAATGATGATATACTATTAACCCTTTAATTCGTAAAGTTGAGAATACTCAACATTCGAAATAAATAAATCCTGTATGAAAACTTGAACGCGTAGAAAAAATATTTTTACTTTGAAAAAAAGGTGAAACGAAACGCAACTCGTAAAAAGAAAGTTGTGTGTCACAAACGTCAGATTTTGACAGTGGCGGCAAAATGGCATCACGTTCATCTGCACCGTTTGGACCTAAGGTAAATAAAATTTATTATTAGCAATTTAAATCATATTGATACCTATTATTGCCTTGCATTTCAATTTTAAATTATTATTTTATGCACGTAATGAAAAAAGCCTGAAAATATTGTGGTTTAGTATGTGTTTGATGGTTTTCAAGTTGAATGTTGAATATACTCAACAATGCGAATGTTACTATTATTCACCTGATTTTTTCTATGTTGAGTATTTTCAACATTGCGAAATGCTTTAGGTTTTGTCCTATAACTTAACATGATGAGTATATTCAACATTGCACGTGTACTAACATTTATTCCCCTCTTATCTGAGACCCTATTATTGTTCATTTTTCGCTTTGGTTTTGGATGCCCTACGTTTTTTGTGTTATTTTGCTTCAGAAAATGCTTAAATGGCGACGCACGCAAAAAAATTATGGCGCTTGTACCTCCCGCAAAAGCACCCTCCGATGACAGCAGCACATCTGAAGATGAAGTTATAATCAATAATTACACAAAACCGAAAAAACAACAATCATCTGACTCAGAACACAACTACGAATCATCTGAACCACGTTCTTATCCCTCTGAAATTGATGACTTAAGCTTAGATTCACATTCCGAAGATGAGATTCCTGCGACGCCATCACCTAGGCCACTACAGCTACAAAATGAAAGCAAGTCATACTTACCCAATTCCAAAGAAAATTCTCGTCCGACGACGCCTCCATCGCCAACTCCGCCTCAACAAAATGATTGCAACATACCTGAAGTACCATGTTCTGAAGTCCAAACTCCGATTTCGTCTGCGTCGATGCCACAAGATATAATGAATGATTCCATACTCCACATACCAACAATTCCCTTGTCTCCTTTAATTAACCAAATGTTTTCACCAGGCCCGTCAAATCAGCCGCTCCCATTCACACTGAATTCGGTCTCATCAGTATTATCACCTAACATGTCTCCAGCAGCACCTAATACACGTTCAAAGCGACGACAGAACACAAAACCTAAACACCCAGCGGCAAAAAAAGTAAAGAAGTTTGTAAGAAAACCTCTATCATTCAAATTCAGAGCAGGAAAACTACAGTACGCAGCTATATTTGAACCACCGAAACACGATTTCTCACCCGATCCACATCATTCAATCTTAGATTATTTCACTGACTTTTTTCAAATGACATATTCGAATTAATAGTAGAACAGACAAACTTATATTCAGTTCAAACCGATTCGAGATCTATAAATATAACAAACGATGATGTGAAAGATTTCATAGCGATTACACTCATTATGGGGGTAGTGAAAATGCCCTCTTACAGAGATTATTGGAGTCGATTTTTGCGATATCCAGCTGTCGCTGATATCATGCCTTTAAAAAAGTATGAGAAAATAAGGAAATATTTACATTTCGCCGACAACAGCAACATTAACGACGACCGTTACTACAAAGTTCGACCAATTATTGAAAAAATTAGGCTTAATTGCTTAAAAATGAAGGAGGAACAACGCTACAGCGTCGACGAAATGATGGTCCCATACAAAGGGACAAGAGCGGGAAGTAGGCGCCAATATCTACCTAAAAAACCAAAAAAATGGGGGATGAAGTTATTCGTTCGAGCAGGCGTCTCTGGTTTAGTGTATGATTTCATTCCTTATGGTGGAGAAGACACGTTTAGAAATCATTCTTTTACTGAATACGAGGAGAGCCTCGGTCTTGGAGCAAAAGTTGTGCTAGCACTTTGCAAGACCATTGAGGATAAACCTGCAGTCGTATATTTTGACAATTTCTTTACGTCATTGGAGCTAATTCACCATTTGCGTCAAGAATACGGTATTTTTAGTATTGGTACCATAAAAAGTAATCGTTTGAGAGGTTGTCAAAATAAACTACTAGCAGATAAAGTTCTCGCAAAAAAAGGACGGGGTGCAAGCTCCCAGATCGTCTGCAATGACACGAAACTTGCTGTTGTCAGATGGTATGACAATAAGCCGGTGACATTGGTTAGTTCATTCGTCGAATCCCATCCAATGGGAAAGATTCAAAGGTATTCCAAAGATACAGAATCTAGGGTGGAGGTCAATTGTCCTCAGATTGTGAAGCAATATAATGCCCATATGGGGGGCGTAGACTTGGCGGACATGCTTATCGCTCTATACCGTTCAAACTTTAAAACTAAGAGGTGGTACATGACCATGTTTTCACAATCTCTGGATATTTGCGTCAACAATGCTTGGTTATTACATAGGAGATATCATGCTGATCCTAAAGACCGTTTACCTCTCAAAAAATTTCGGATACAGATAGTATCTGAGCTTTTACATAAAAACAGAACGAGGGTGACAGTGAGTCAGGAAAACGATCCTCCTAAAAAAATAATTACTCCAGCTGCTCCAAGACCGACTGATGCTGTACGATATGACAACAATGGACATTTACCCATGTTTGTGTCGTATGGACGGTGCAAATACTGTAAAAATGGGTACACAAATATTACTTGCTCAAAATGTATCCTCAGGCTGTGTCTAGTTAGTAAGAGAAACTGTTTTTATAATTACCATGTTAAGTAATAATATGTGAATTTGATTTTTTCTACTAAGGCTGTGTCTAGCCAACTTATTCTATGATTAATTAATAAGAAATAAAACTTTATTTGATTTTCTCTATAGTTTGTTCTTTTATTTTTATATATTAGTAAACTACCTTTACAAGGGCAATGTTGAAAATACTCAACGCTCAATTTATTAGGTAATGTTCCAATATGTCGCGCAATGTTGAGTATTTTTAACATACGATATTTGATAAAGTATACAATAATAATAATAATTTCTATTTTTTTTGGCTATAATTAGTCAACATTAATGCAATTAAACAGAAAAAAACATGTTTACATAACTTTTATTTTTCTGCGCATTAAAGGGTTAACAATAAAATTACGCAAGTAGTACCTTTAACTAATATTGTTACCTCCAAATTGAATCCGTTTCTCTAAATGAAAAGTTTAGCACGATTTACTAAATTATTTTTTACACTTATTACTTGTGCTTGAGTAACTTGCATGACGTTACGTCATGATTAACACGACTCTGCATTTCACCCCACAGATAAAAATCTAACGGTGAAAATTCCGGCAAGTTTACAGGCCATAGTATACGTACGTTAATTTCTTGTCAGGGTAAAGACTCACTTTCGTATAATCTTTGCACACCACGTAAACATTATTAAGTTCATCATTAATTTCACACACACACACACACACACACACACACACATATATATATATATATATATTATGAATTTAAAAAAATCTGTTTCTGTTTATTTTAAGTGATTTTCTGCTCATATGTCTATGTATGAATTTAACTTAAAACGTAGCTGTTACTTACTATGTAATCTTCAATAGCTTGTTTGTTTGGTTTTCCTAAATTATAATCTTTGATGCAAAGTCTATCTAGTGCAACGCCCGGAGCCCACATCCGAAGCACCTCTGAAAGTTTACAGAATAAATTCATTGAATATTCTCCATTTATGATTTCAATTCGATTATTAATAATAATAATTTAAATAATTTAGAATGTAGCTTACAAATCCTTAATATTTGCAATTGTATAATTCCACAAAATGATAATAAAAATTGTTTACACCTGGTGCATCAGAATATACAAGGCATGATAGGCAAAGAGCTAGAAATTGAATTGTTCTTAAATAGCAACAATATTCATATTTTATGTATTACTGAACATTGGTTAAAAGCTCATAATTTAATGTTTAACTTCAGTAATCACCAGGTAGTCAGTTCTTTCAATAGAGAAACGATTTTAAGAGGCGGCTCCTTAATTTAAGCTAGTAAATTATTATCATGTAAAGAACGTAAAGATATTGTAAGCCTCTCTGTTGAGCGAACTGTAGAAATGGCATATTTTGAGTTTGAGCACCTCATTGTTGTTAGCGTTTACAGACCCCCATGTTCTTTATATGATACTTTTGAAAAAATATGGAGGAAGTTTTTGCTAAGCTTAATAAACAGAATAAATCTGTTGTAATATGTGGAGACTTTAATATCAATCTCCTAGAAGCTTCCTCCACCAATATTAAATTTATATCATTGTTTAAATATTATGGTCTTTTTAAATTTACTTTTTGGAGCCAACACGTATTGCTAAATCTAGTGCAACATGTATAAATAACATTTTTACAAATGTTAAGCCGTTCAATAAATGTATAATTCAAAAATTGAGCTCTGATCACTTTGGACAATTAGTTTCATTACCTTATGTTCTTAAAAAGTAAGTAGATAAAAAAGTAGTGTTTGTTCCAGTAAATGCACATCGCTTGGAGAAGTTTACAAGTAATATAGTTAAAAAACTTCCATTACTTTCATATCAAAATAATCCAAATTTTTTGTATGGAACATTATTTAAGCTCATTTGTAATGAATTTAATAATACTTTTACTTCTAAAACATTTTCCTTGAACAATCGCAAGGCATTTAATGAATGGGCGACAGTAGGAGTCCATAAGAGTAGACAAAGGTAATATGAACTTTACAATGAAAGGTCATACAATCCTAGCGTCGAATTTAGGGAATATGTAAAAAAAATATTCCAAAATATTTAAAAGAGTGTGCTCCTTAGGCAAGTCATTGTATTTGAGCAACAAAATAAAGACTGCTTCTAATAAAATTAAAATGACATGGAGTATAATTAATAGTGAAACTGGTAAGGTCAACTCTCACAATTCAAACTACCAGTTAAGTTTTAACAGTAAATTAACTAAATCAGATCAGGAAGTTGCAATGGTTTTTGAAAAATATTTTACAGATATTCCGATCTTAACCACAAAGTCACTGAATTCTTCTCCTGCCGTCGCCGAATCGTTACTTAAACAAAATGTAAATGTGTGTACAAAGAATTTTACATTTCATAAACTGTCTTCAAAAGATATTGTAAAATATTTTAAAACTATTGATATTAAGAGAACTGCCGATCAGTGGGGAATTTCTGTTAAATTTATTGCGTCTATAATAGATACAATCGCATCTCAACTACCTATTATTTTTAATACTAGTATCGAATCTGGTGTGTTTCCTGATTTAATGAAGCATAGTAAAGTAATACCTTTATTTAAAGCTGTAGTACATTAAACCCCGTTAATTTTAGACCTATTTCTGTACTGCCAACACTAAGTAAAATTTTTGAAAAAATTATTCTTGATCAAATGTTAATTTTTTTAATGTAAATAATTTAATTTATAAAAATCAATTTGGTTTCACAAGGGGTCGCTTGACAACTGATGCTGGTGTTGAGATGATTAAATATATATTTAATGCATGGGAGAATACACAGAATGCTTGTTCTGTGACCTATCCAATTTGTGCCTTCGATTGTGTTCACCAATTTCAATTCAATTTTCAATTTTTCAATTTCAATTTCATTCTTTATTTGCGCAATATGGATACAGATGGTGTTACAGTGGTCAATTTATATTGTTGATCGCCATATTTAGGCTCATTCCATGCAAAAATTCTCAATTATATACTATAGTTTAAATTAAAATTATTACATATCAAATTATTGTCTAAATAATTATTAAATTAATGTCAAATAAGAATACCTACTTAATACACAATGTCAATATTGTAAAATAAATGTCACTTAAAATGTCTAATTAATGTCACAGTACCACTAAGCCGGTTACAGTACTACATCTAATAATTTGTCTTCAAGAAATTCCCTTACCGAATAATATGATTTTTCTAAAAGTAGTGTCTTCACTTTTTTTTTTAAATAAATTATTATTTTAAATTTCAAGCAGAGAGTTGGGTAAATGATTATACACTCTAGGAATCATACAAAATACACTGCTGTTTAAAAGTTTAGTTTTGTTAGACATGAAGCTTATTTGGAAAGGGTACATATCCCTTGCTTTTTAATTTAACAAAGCTTCAATGGCTCCCCATATATCAAATCTAGCTAGCAGACTTTGTTCTGCAAGATATGCTGTAAAAAAGATTAGAACTCTTACCAGTCTTGAAACAGCTATAATAGTTTACACTAGTTATTTCCATAGCATTATGTTTACTATGGGGACACGCGACTGACACTGAAATTATATTTATTTACAGGAGCAGACACAAGCTAGTAGTACCAGTTACTCGACTCCACCGAGTCAGTAATTTATTCTTGGGGCGATGTATACGCTTTTACAACAAAATCCCAGAAAATATACAAAATTTGTCATACACAAAGTTCAAAAATGTTATTAAACTAAGTTTGTATAAAAAGGATTATAATATTTAGGAATTAATGGATGATAATAACCCCTGGGAAGGGTGATCGCTACCAAGCTATTTCTAATTTATCTTGCATTGTTAATTGTAAACATAATTTTAAACTATTATTGGAAAAAATAGTCCCGCTGGGTTTCTTGCTTGTTCTTCCCAGGACAGAGGTTTTTTTTTGCGAATCAGTGGTAAATGAAAAAAATGACTTTCAATAAGTAATGTTATAATCCACATTGAATAAAAAGTTTCTGTTTCTGTTTCTGATTCCCAAATATTTTTTTATTTTAACGGGTTAACTGTATTATTTGCGTAGCATGTCATTCCTTACATTCCTTAAATCATGATATTGTGATTGTATAGGCGATAGGCTAGCCACCTATCTCTTATTTCACATTACATCTATACCAATTTTTTTATTAAACCTCCAAGTAGCGTATGTTGGACCCAAGGACTCTGCCTACTATCTCGGGGATTATATGCGTAACTCTATGTTGTTTAGAATAAAAATTACACTGATAAAATACTACTAACAAAAAAATGCTATCAAAACATATTTACGATTAAAAGACAAGGACCCGGTATGTATAAAGTCCAAAGTAAAACAATTTATTTGGCTTCCACCTTGCCATAACGCCACGGTCATTTTTGGGACGCTTGCACATTGAGAGGTTAAGCAGTTATAAGAATTAAGTAAAAATAATTTGTATATATATCTACAAATTATTTTTACTTAATTCTTATCACTGTTTAACCTCTCAATACTATAGAATATAGATATTTGAAAACAACATGTTTTTGAATATCATCATTCATCATCATCATTTTATATTGGTTTTATCTGGCCAGCGTCTGTTAATTTCTTTTTTTCGGAAAAACTGTAGCCTAGATCCCTATTATTCGTAAAATTTTGTAAGAATCGTTTCTGCTCTTCCGAAAAGTAGAAAGACGAATTAAAAAGACGGACTGACTGAGATAACAAAATGTAAAAATTGGGATGTATCTCTTAATAGCATTATTGGCATTTATCTCTTTATAACATTATTGACCTTAGAAACTAGATGTTCAAATAATAGAGACAGACATTTCAATTTTAGTAGACATTTAGTAGAGTGCAAACTTCCAACTGAAGAGTCGTGGACTCAAATCCACCATTCGACTACCGTCATGAACCACGGGAATGGTTAACGAGAATAATAGCAATTTTGAAAGCTTTACTGCTATTAAATATGTAGAAAACAGGCGTAAGTATAGTGATATTTGAATATACCTGACACAACCATGTCTAAATACTTTAGACTCTGTATTGAATTGTAACTTAAATTTCCACAGTTCTTTTCGTTGTGTTCCTTGATTTCTTCATACAAACGTTGCTGGATTTCAGGGTGCGTAGCTATTTCGTGAAGCGCGAACGACATAGCTGAAGAAACGGTATCGAAACCGGCAATGAAGAACAACACAGCTTGAGCCACTATATCGATGTCAGTCCACACTAAAGAATTAAAGTTCAAAATTAGTAACACAATTATATAGTTTAATATACTTTTAAGTGGTGTAAAATTGAATAAAACTATATTTACGCATTTTATCGCGTTTAATTACCTACTGTTATGTTCATGTCTAAAGATGACCTTAGAGAGTCAGTACAATTACAATCTGTGAGGTATTCAATATTTTGTCCTCAGAGGCGACAACGTAAACGTAAGCTTTTGGACCGAGTAGCCACTGACCATCAGGTAGTCCACCTCCAGCAAGTATCGTTTGACACTTCAGTTTTATGAAAAATATAATATAAAGTGGAAAGGTGTGTGAAATCTACTGTTTTAAAAAATATGAGCCCAGCACTAGGGTTTTACTTCTTTATTGTGGAAGTATACGTAAAAAGATTACACAAATTGCATATGGGCAACGGCGTTACAATAGACACATAAGACTAAAATATTTTTGAAAAGGAAACACATCTTAATCAAAAAGTATTATCATTGCATCAAAGTCCATCAAAGTTCACTCACTGCACACATGTCTCCTTATAGATTAAATCAAAACGTGGTCCTGGCCTAGCTGCATCCATCGATTTGCAAGATCATCCTGATCAGTTGATCAGTTCGTTGAAAGGACAAAAAGCCTGCCATCCGAGAACGTTTACTATTAATCATATTTAGTTCTTTGGCTCTCGTCTGGCTCGCATACATAGAATAGGTACTGCATTACGTTCGCGCAGGCTGTAACGAACTGAGTTGGTAATTCTGAACGGATAATATGCGCAAATGCTGTTTGATTAAATCAAAGCTATTATATATATATATATATATATATATATATATATATATATATATAAGGCGCGGCATATATTTATATATAAATAATAAAATATAAATATATGCCGCGCCTCAACCTTCTACCACTGATACACCTTATTATGGGTTATCGTATTTTTTTTTTGTCACCTTTAGATTATCTTCATGAGCAACTCGCCGAGTTATTCGTGTACGAGATAAGATAAAATATTTTATTTACTAAAGCATATGTGAAATATACAACGCACTGGTAGAGATATATTCTTAGTGTTAGTGTAATTAGTATCAACTTGTCTTGCCGATATTCGGTGTGTAAAATTTAAAGTGTTAAGTTGATAGTTTTCATTTAACATTGGCAAAGTCTATCACTATACAAATTCAGTGAAAGTAATACTTACAACAATCATAATTAAAAATATATGTATGTATAAGCTAATTACGTAATATCAAAGTTTATCAATGAGAAAGTCGTTACAGTGTAGTATCATTTTTAAATCAAAATGTTTTCAATTTATTTTTAAAAAGATTGCTGTTCATTGATTTATATATTTGAGGAATTTTATTATAGATTTTAGGAGTCATGCAAACTACATTCTTTCACAGTAGATTCGTTTTCGCTTGTTGTAAGTACAATTTACACACTGACACTTGCGCTTTATTTTTTCAAATAACCGGGGAAATAGGTTGGGATTGGCCCTGACAAATAGAGCCATCTCCATTATGTTTAAGGACGGAAGCGTTAGAATTCTGTGTTTAATAAAATATGGCATACAACTATCGGTAGTCTCAAGACCAAACATTCACTCAACGTAGATCTTTTAAACATGGATGGCGTGCGTCTCTTTATTCACGACTTTATGTGTACCTACTTGATATTTATAGACTCACAAATATATATTTGTTAGTCTATAAATATCACTAGATAGAGCGACGACCTAGTAAGATAAGCAGGAAGTCGATGAATGCAGATGGCTTAGGACCAAGGTTTGTGGAATTCCTTGGGTGAAGCCTATATTCAGCAGTGGAGTTGTAAAGGCCCGTAACGATGATGATGAAATATTTATTTAAAAGTGACTTCTAGGACCTCATATCACGAGTTCTTCTTGATAAATTTTTAGAAAAATTGTGGATTCGTTACTCAAATCCATCACAATAAGTGTGCATTTGTTTTATTATTATTATTTTAAAACTATCTTAAAAGAAAAATAAGCAATACGCAAGCGAATAATGACGCATGTGTTTAAACAACGATACGAATACACACGAGCATTCCTTTACTCGACGTTGCGTTTTCGTTTTCATCCGTTTTTCCAAAACAAGGCGTTTATGTACTCGTACTCCTGCCTACTCGTCTGTGCTCGGTGAGTATCTAACGTTGCATGACAAAATTTCATTTATGTAGATGTCCAAGTCAGCATTTACGAAATTATTATTTAGTCCATCTCGGCCTGCAGGGACGTATTAAAGTAGTTATTTTTTTTTAAATTGTATCTAATAAAGCTCAGTATTACCTGTGTAGATTTATATCACATTCCTGGTCCAGGCAGGTGAAAAGGAAGATAGGCCGTAGAAAATTGAGGCTTTTGTGTATATGGGTGTTAAATTTTACTTTGCCAATGAAAACTATCAAATAAACTCAAGCATTACCTCAGAGATGCCAATACTTACCACGATCTATTTTCTTTTTTCCCACGGAAGATTCTTCGACAGTTGCGAATCCAGCATCCGTGTCGATAGCACCTTTGTCTTCGTGAGTTAATCGACCTTGGAAAAAATAATAGAGATTTCAATAATAGAGACTTCATTTTATTTATATATATAGACAATGGCGTAATATGCAGGGTGAGTAACATTCCGATAAGAATGACAAATATTTGTATTAATCCACACATACAGCAAGTGTATAGTCGCCCAAAATCGCTTACATTTTTTGCAGTTGTTTTAGCTCCACTTTCGCTTTTCTGCAATAATTAATTCTTCCGAATAATTAATCACGATATTAAAAACAAGGTACGAGGTGAAAAAGTACCAACTTCCTGACGAGTTGCTACTGAGAAGTTCTTGACAGAGAATCCAATAACTGGTTTTGACCCGACCTGAGATTTAAGTCCGGGACGTATGATCATCAGTAGAGTGATCTATAGCTTATGTAGATCTCTAGCCAACGATGTACACTAAAATAGAGTAAGAATGTAGCTATATTTAGGAGCTAAGAAGTATTCCATCTGAATCTTCAGGTGGACTATACACGCCAGTTACATTGATTGAAGTATTTAGGTTGTAGGTAAGCATCTGTAGGTAACAGAGGCTATTTTTATCAGCAGTTGAGTTTGCTATTCAAAGATTTTAATTTTTTTTAGTGTTTACTAACGAAAACACCTTACCCTTTTTAGCCTCCATCAGAAGATGGATCATGTCAGGTCTGAAAATCTGTTTAGCTTCACGTTCGTTCATTGTATTCATCACCAGGTTCCAGAAAAATTCTTTCGTCGATTTTTCGAACAGGGAGACACGTAGGATCTACGAAAAAATTCAGTGAAATTGAATTAAATCTTAGTTTTGCTAGTGAGAGACTTACAGCATCTTACGTCCTATTGCTGGGCACAGACCTCTACTCATTTTTGAGACGTATTTACGGCAATGAGCAAATCCGCCGCTCTGCCTTAAGTCATGTTGGCGGACTTCGCATATAAACGAAATATTTTTTGTTTTGTTTTCTCAGTTATTCATGCATTTTATGTGTAAATCCAGTATTTTTATAATTTTTTTAATAAATAGAGAATTTCAATGACAATTTATCTATTTTTATTGACAGATAACTTCACATTGGCCGCTAACATAGAATGTGAAATGGCGGTTCTAAGGTTTTGGATGGATTTTACACTATCTGTCGTGGTGAATTTGGAAGAATTTTGAATTTTTTATTACAGAATAAGAGTGACAAATGAGCACACAATTCACCTGATGGTAAGTTGATACTGTGGCTCATAGATATCTACATTTATCCTGAATTGAGTATCAAAATATAGATGCGTTTTCCTTCTGAGGACTAAGATGGAATGCCTCGTGTTCATTAAAAAGTATCTTCTACATTTAATTCCTTTCAGAAAATATCACAGAGACTATTTTATTGAATAAGGGTGTCAAATGAACACGCAGTCCATAATGGTAAGTTGATGTTGTAGTACATAGACATCTACGTCTATTCTCGATTTAGAATGAAATTTCAGATGTGTTGTCACCCCGATTTTCTACACTTATCGTAAGAAACACAGCAGCGTGAAGCCACTAGTTTACGCTGATATTTTAGGAGAGCATGATTATTCCATTATTATATAGCTTTAGGGTAGCTTCGCCACAAGCATAGAATACTATAATACACAATAGAATGATTATCAACCTTATTTTGTACGAGGATTGATGTCGCCGGGAGCACACATACAAGCAATTATGCTGTATTATCACTACTACAAACCCAATTCGCTGTATTGACAGACTAAATGTTTTCGACACATCAATATTTCTTTATTTTTGTTTCTAATATTTACAAAATATAAATAGTTTCGACTTACTGGTTGTAGGATACGTCTCCTTTATTTTAATTCCATTTCCCGCTGTTTTTTCGAAACGTAATTATTGCACAATTTGCCATTTTTTATAATTTGCATGAAGCGGTGCTTGACACGAAAATTGAAAACGATTGATTGTGTTGATAGTTATAGATGTGAATTGACATGTTAGTGGCTACACTGGCTCCGCCCACTTCCCCATACTATTATTTATGTATTATAGTATTCTAAGGCCACAAGAATCAAATCGTTGTGGCGTTACAAAAATACCTATAAATAATTTATTAGGTTTGGTTTAATTTCTAATATTGGATTTGTTCTAAATTGAAGCAATTGAAACTCTTACCGAAGTCACAGTAGGAAAAGCAGCCATCGCGAAAACTTTTAGCACATGCTTGAAATTAAAGGATGCAGCCATTTTGGCCATCTTAAAGAATATATTGCTTTTATCGCTATGTGAGTCTACTTTTAGTCCAAAGGCACAAGAAGCGATAACATCGTTTGCATATCTTGTCATCAGACCCTTACCCTCCACGTCAATATATTCGCCTGTTAATTAAAAAAACTATTTGTCATAAAATACGACATCCTCTTGGCGAGTTACAACGAGGGTGACGGATACATCAGCGTTTAGATTCGCAATAACTGAAATAATAAATGTCAGTATGTGTTATGAGTTAGTGCATAAGGCTTAAAAAAATATCGAGTGCTGTAAATACATAAAAACGTACAATATCGGATACTACAACTGATTACTCAAAGTATCTGAAATTAAAATCCGGGATCTCGATGTGCTGGATCAAAGACTACCAGCTAATGTGACTATGATATGCAGCAAAACAATAAAAAATCTATGTTTTACATAAATACGTTTACGTCACAAAACGACCTCAAAATGGCGGCACTCCACTCTCCGCCGCGTTTTTCGATTACATAAAGAATTTCTTGCTCCTTTAACTATCGAGTGGTGTAATTTAATTTTGGATGTAGATTATAGATATATAGCTGCACCATCCCCCGATTTTCTTATCATCAGTTTTCTGAATTGCCTCCCACTATGGCAGGTCACATACACCAAACTGGTGATATGTTGAAGATGTACCGACTTAAGAGTACTCTTAAAGATGAGCATGTATGCGTAGATGATATACAAATGTGAAAGAAATGAGAGAATTGTATGAGGATAGTGTTAAATGGAAATTCTTAGTCTTTGTCTGCACTTCTGGATGAGCTTATGTACTTACGTTTATGTATTTGACATAAAATATTTTTAATGATTTTAATCGATAAGAAATGAGTCCACAGTCCATATTATGATAAGTGAATGCTGTGACCTATGGACGTCTACATCTATCTTCGATTTGTAATCAAAAGGGAGATGCGTTGTCACCCCTGAGGACTAATATGGTATGCCTTGTTTCCAGTAGAAAGACACCTTTGTACCGATTCTCCATTCGAAACAGCATTACGCTGCTATTTTAAGCTGGTATTCTATGAGAGCGTAGTCTTTCCATGGTCGAATTGACCTATTCATGCTACAACTATATTATAGCTGCAGTAGGTTATCAATAATTGGCTTCTAATAATAAAATGGGGCTATTACTGACCTGAAGAACTCTGAATCTCTTTCTTAAGGGATTTTATCATTTGCTCACCAACTTCAACCATAAATGGAACCATTAAACGCATCTTAGAGCTCGTGAATGCAGGACTTAAAGTTGATCGCATGTCTTTCCATTCTTCGCCTGATACAAAAAAAACTTATTAGCAGCAATATATCGTATGTATACCTGCACGGAGGAGTATGAAATTTGGCGTAGTTAAAATAGTTATAGAGAAGGAGTGCGGAAAGCTAAAAATCTATATATAGTATTTATACACACACTTTAAATAAAATTAAATAATTTACGTTACATTATTTGCGTACCTCCTACACACTGCCAATGTCTAGGATTAAGCAAAAGTACATTATTACTTTTAGACCCATGACAAAGACTTAATAGTCTATGTTTAAATGGTCGCAAACAAAACATTATGATACATTTTGAGTTAGTATGTATGAATATCGATTATTCAATACAAAGGAGTTTCAAACGTTATTTCAAGCACTTTTCAAAATTAAATATAGGATTATTTCATTACTAATAATAATACAAAATTATTCAGTGATATTAATGTTAGATAATAATGTTAGATAATACAAGCAGGAGATGGGCAGCAGCATCTTTCTGATAATAGCAACTGTACGACAAAAAAAAACTGCGGTTGCCAACCCGCTCGCCAAGCGTGGCAACTATGGCAATATACCCCCCATGAACAATTACACAAATAGACGGCCCCCAGTCCCCGGCGGCCCCGCTATTCCTGGCTACGCTGGCGACCATGGTAACGGCGGGGCAGGGGGGTGCTAAGAATCTCCGGTGGAGGTTCGGTTGCCACCTACGACGACTCGACCTGGCAACATTTAACGCACGCACACTGAGGACTGACGAGAAGATCCTGGAGCTGGAAGAAGAGATAGACAAGTTGCGCTGGAGTATTATAGGATTATCCGAGGTCCGAAGAGAGGGGGAGGACACGGTTATTCTCGAATCCGGCAACTTGTTCTATCACCGGGAGGGCGACCATCTGTCCCAAGGAGGTGTCGGATTTATCGTCCACAAGTCTCTCGTCAACAACGTTGTAAAGATTGGGAGTGTGTCGACGAGGGTCGCGTACCTGATACTCAGAATCACCAAACGGTATTCGCTGAAGGTCATACAGGTTTACGCACCAACCTCGGCACATTCCGATGAGGAGGTGGAGGAAATGTATGAGGATATTTCCAGAGCCATGCATTCCTCCAAAACCCACTACACGGTGTTGATGGGAGACTTCAACGCAAAACTAGGCACAAGAGAAAACGGTGAGCTGAAGTTAGGGAAATTTGGAGTAGGGCAACGGAACCGAAGGGGCCAGCAGCTGGCCGACTTTATGGAGAAAGAGGGACTCTTTATGATGAACTCTTTCTTCCAGAAGCGGCCCCACAGGAAGTGGACCTGGTCGAGCCCCGACGGTTCGACAAAAAATGAGATTGACTTCATTATGACGACCAGACGCCAACTGTTCAGTGATGTCTCAGTGATCGCAAGGGTGAAAACTGGCAGCGATCACCGAATGGTTAGAGGCACACTGAACCTAAACGTTAATTTGGAGAGGTCTCGTCTAATGAAGTCAACGCTCCGTCCCCCTCGTGCTCTAATTCAAAATCCCGAAAACCTTCAGCTCGAGTTACACAACCGCTTTCAGTGCCTACAAGATTGCAATGCAGTGGACGATGTGAATGACAAGCTCGTGGAAACTGTCCATGCGGTCGGAGCTAAGTTCTGCAAGACCCGCCGCAGAAGAACACAAAAACTCTCCGATCACACTCTTAATCTCATGGCTGTTAGACGGGAGATGAGGCTGCAATCGTCAACAGATTTGACAGCATACAGGCAACTGAACAGACAGATCTCCAAATGCATGCGGCGAGACTTACGCAACTTTAATACTGCTCGTATTAAAGAAGCGATCGAGCGGAACCAGGGCTCCAAAGTCTTTGCCAGAGATCTGTCTGCCCGTAAGAGCCAACTGTCAGGGCTGAAGACTGAGTGTGGCAGCATCGTTTCCGGGACACCTGAGATTTTGAGTGAGATTGAGAGGTTCTATGGGCAGCTGTACACATCATCGTTGGAGCCACACGCAAGTGTGAGTAACGATCCAAGAGCAAGTCTTATCCGACACTATTCCGATGATATCCCGGACGTCAGTTTAAGCGAGATTAGAATGGCTCTCCAGCACCTTAAAAACGGCAGGGCCCCAGGCGAGGATGGAATTACAGCGGAGCTTCTGAAAGCGGGTGTAACACCGGTACTTGAAGTCCTTCAGAAGCTCTTCAATTCCGTCCTCCATGGTGGCACTACTCCAGAGGCGTGGAGCAGAAGTGCGGTGGTCTTGTTCTTTAAGAAAGGCGACAACGCTCTCTTGAAGAACTACAGACCGATTTCCCTTCTGAGCCGCGTCTACGTGCTGTTTTCGAGAGTCATTACGAATCGTCTCGCATGCAGACTCGACGACTTCCGGCCTCCTGAACAAGCCGGTTTCCGAAAAGGCTTCAGTACCATAGACCACATACATACCCTGCGGCAGATTGTACAGAAGACTGAAGAGTACAATTTGCCACTTTGCCTGGCGTATGTGGACTATGAGAAAGCCTTTGATTCCGTCGAAATTTGGGCGGTGCTGCAGTCCCTTCAGCGGTGCCAAGTTGACTGTCGGTATATCGAAGTGCTGAAGTGTTTGTACAGTAGGGCTACGATGGCTATCCGAGTACAGAACCAGAGCTCGAAACCTATCCAACTGCAGAGAGGTGTAAGACAGGGTGACGTTATATCCCCGAAACTCTTCACCGCTGCTTTGGAAGACGTTTTCAAGCTACTGGACTGGACAGGATACGGTATTAACATCAATGGCGAGTACATCACTCACCTTCGATTTGCCGACGATATAGTATTTATGGTAGAATCGCTGGAGGACTTAAGCACTATGCTCAATGACCTCAATAGTGCCTCCCAACGAATAGGTCTTAAGATGAACATGGACAAAACAAAGATCATGTTTAATGTCCATGTCACACCTATGCCGGTAGTTGTTGGGAGCACTATGCTCGAAGTTGTTGACGAGTACGTTTACCTGGGACAAATAGTCCGACTAGGTAAGTCCAACTTCGACCGAGAGGTCAATCGACGGATTCAACTCGGCTGGGCAGCGTTCGGGAAATTACGACACATCTTCTCGTCAGGTATACCTCAATCTCTGAAAACTAAAGTGTACAACCAGTGCGTGTTGCCAGTGATGACTTACGGATCAGAGACGTGGTCCTTCACTGCTGGCCGTATGAGGACGCTCAAGGTCGCTCAGCGAGCTATGGAGAGGGCTATGCTCGGAGTTTCTCTGCGTGATAGACTCAGAAATGAGGATATCCGCAGTAAAACCAGAGTGACCGACATAGCCCAACGGATTAGTAAGCTGAAGTGGCAATGGGCCGGCCATATAGCTCGAAGAACCGATAACCGATGGGGAAGAAAGGTTCTCGAGTGGCAGCCTCGTACCGGTAGGCGTAGTGTAGGGCGACCCCCCACTAGATGGAGTGACGACCTGGTAAGATATGCAGGAAGTCGATGGATGCAGGTGGCTCAGGACCGTGCTTTGTGGCATTACTTGGGGGAGGCCTATGTTCAGCAGTGGACTTGTGAAAGGCTGTGATGATGATGATGATGATGAATATAGTATTATATAGATTTAGTAGTTTTAAATAATAATATCAAAATTTAAAAGAACTTAAAAACACACATTGATCATGAGCGGTGATAATTCTAGAAAGAATTATCCTGGTGATCTAGTTGAGGATATTAAAATAAAGTTTTTAAATTATTGTACATATTGTCATCGGTCCTTGACGCGAATGCAAATTTTCAAGTCAATCGTTCGTCGAAAAGTTGGGGAAAATTCCTTCAATTATATCGTTAGATAGACAGATAAATACACGCGTAGGATTACCCTTTTATTCAAAAGCGTGTTAAAGTTGGTTAGTCTTTTATAATAACGGTACCTTTCAACGAGAACAGATTCCGTCCAAAGAAAGGATCAGCATTATCATTAACAAAAGAGCGATGGTCTACGAAGTATTCGAAATCCTTCACCGTTACCTTCTTTATCAATTCTATGTCTTTGATCATTACTATAGGATTCAGGAATTCAAATCTTCCTACGAACCTAGAAGAGAAAAAAATGAAATTTTAACTGGAAATCATAACGTCCAATGTTTTTCTTGCATTTGTTTATTCTAACTGAAGTGATATCCGAACTTCCAGTCCACCTGATAGTAAGTATCTACAGCGGGCACTTACAATGCACTTCAAAAAATAAGGCAACGGATTCGTATTTCGCTGCTTTATGGCAACAAATTCGTTCACGGAGACAAATAATTTGTTGCCCTAGAACTGACTACTGAACTAAGATGAAACGCTTCCGTTAAAGTCTATCAAAGCCCACTGCTGCACATAGGCCTCCCCATAGATTGCTTAATCGAATATAGATGTACATACATGTCTATGGACCACAACATCAACTTACCATCAGGTGGACTACAAGCTCGTTTGTCATCGATATTTTATAAAATAGTCTCTGTGATATCTTCTATAAGGTATTTTATGTAGATGATCCTTTTTACTGGAAACGAGACATTCCATCTAAGTCCTCAAGATTGAAAACTCATCTGCATTTTAATGCTTGGCTGAGCATAAATGTGTATGTCTATGGGCCACAGGTCGTCTGTCGCTCTAAGGCACCAAATTCGTTAACGCTGACAAATTATTTGTAGCCTTAGAACTGACTACTGGGATAATATGGAATGCTTCCGTTACAGTCTATCAACGTCCACTGCTGAACATAGGCTTCCCCTATAGATTGTCTCATAGGGGGGGGGCATTTTCCACAGTTATTCCGCTTGGTGCTTCACAGCCTAAGGCCCGGCTTCCACCAAAGCAGAGAGGAGAGGAGACAAGAGGAGATGTGTTTGAATAAACGAATCCGATTTCGTTAATTCCACATCTCTTCTCTGCTTAACTTTTGTGGAAATGGATCAAGCGGAGAGGAGAGGAGATGTCTCATTTTTCTATAGAATTTTGTGCGGCGAGCGAGCGAACGTCGCGGCAGAGCGGAGAAATGTCTAGTCGGGTGGCTGGGCTGGGCCGCACCCCGCTACCTCGTCCTCGTAGAATCTATTTTTCCGTCGATAATTTAAATATTGAAGAATTAATTGTGATTCTTCAACCTTTAATTCCTCTTCCTCAAGCAAATTCAGGTAAAACTTTTGTAATGAGATGACGTCTTCCTTTAGTAGATAGAACTCGACTGGTTTCGATCTCTCACAGCTCACATCTCTGCTACACAAAGCTTACATCTCCTCTCCGCTACACTTTTCCTTTCCCCTTTGGTGGAAATAACCTGCCAGCTTTTCAGCACATCTCCTCTCATCTCCTCTCCTCTCCACCTTGGTGGAAACCAGGCCTAAATTATATAAGGTCTCTGTGACCTCTATATATATATATATATATATATATATATATATATATTTAGTTTATAAATTGTAAATTTAGAAACTTACATAATTTAGTTAGTTTAGTTTTTAATTTTCTTAGCTTTTTTTTCAATCAAGCGCGGCAATTAATAAATTTAATTGCATGCGTTAATTTTAAAAACGTTGCTAGACACAACCTATGATATTAACTGGCAGGACAACGTCTGCTATGTTATCTATATTTTAAGAGAATTCAGCTATCCATTTATTTCGTGCAGCTTTAATTATTGACTTGGCGGACGCTATGAAAGCTCTCAAGAAGCACAACTTTTGACAAATACCAATGTCAATCTGAAATAATGTAACTTTTGAATTGTAAAAAAAAAATTCAATTCCATGCATTGGGTCAAAAGATTACGATCCACATATACACAAACTCACAAAATTTGCACTCTTTTATAACAAAATTATAAGTATTAGCTTAAGTACTAGTATTAGTTAAAGTATAAGTATATAGATTACCTCTCTTCAGGAAAAGCATTGTAAAGTCTTTGCGTATCGTCAGTGACATGTATCATACGTAGGATTATGTGAGTCATATTACCAAGAATTGGTATTGGCTTGAATTGCTTGACTCCATATCTGCTGAACCTGGTGTATAACTGATGAAAGTAGAGTGCCAAAGCGACCAATATGGCCGTTGACCAAATTACAAGCAACATGACCTGCTGACAAAATTGTGAATGTTCTATAATTTCTAACATTTCACATGGACAAGCATCCAGGCCCGGAACAATTATTTGTAGGCCATATAAATAGTTACTGTGGGGAATTCGAACCCGGCACCCTCAGCGTTGCAAATGAAGGTAAGACACTGCTCCACGCATCTGTCAAAAAAGCCACGCTGCAGCTATATTATAGTTGAGCACAAATGGGTTGGCTCAAAATACCAGCGTAAAAAAGCTGCTTAATGATACTGTATTTCTTATAGTAAGTGCAAGTGGGTAAGTGTATAACCGGAGAACCTTTTACTGGAAACGGGATAATCCGTCTTAGTCATCAAGGCTAACAACGCATCTGCATTTAGATTCTTATTTGAGAATAAATGTCTATAGGTCACAACGTTCACTTACCATCAGGTAGACTGCGTGCCCGTTTATCACTTTAATTCTATAAAAAAAGAATCAAGGAATTAAAAATATTAAAATTATTACCACATTATACTTGCTAAAGTCGCCGCTCTGACAAAGTGCATTTATATATCTATCTATGCTCATTATTAGTTATTACCAGTGACTTCGTGCGCGTAGAAAATTTGCAGATATACTTTATAATAGTGGTCTTTTAACAAGTTATCTTCTTGCAAGTTGTTCACTGTCGAAACCATATCTATTATTTTCTTGTAAAAAGTTCCTACCACTTTTTCATTAAACAAATCATTGTTTTTAAATGGCTTTAAAGTTAAAAATACAAAAAAATTTAAGTGACCTCCTCGGTGTAAAATAACAAAAAAAGTTATTTTTTATCTACCTCCAACGGGTGAAGAGATTATCAAAAACCGCCTACTTTTACAAAGTTTTCATTTTTACACAAAACTAACTTTTTGAAAAATGTATAGCCTAGAACTATTCTGGTATATCTTTCTATTTATTTGTGAAGTTTCATCACAATCGGTTAAGCCATTTCGAAGTTTGGCCGGACTGACAGACAGAACCCGCGGCCCTCAGCGCCGCAACTCATTACTAAGCTACTGCGCAACGGAGCAGTCATCATCCGGCAACGAACACTTTTCGCAAATTTAAACTCACGACAATATATTATATAATACTTACTAACGACAAACACTTAAAAGAATATAAAGAACTGCTGCGAGAGAATAAGATAAGAATATTGAATAAAATCAAGACCGAGTATTGCACTCGTGAAACCACAACATCCAAAACTATTATAGGTCATGTATGTACCAACTTCCAAAATAATACTTTACAAATGTCTATTATTGAATCATCCATAGCTGATCACAAATAAATATATATTGTGTTAAAGAGACCGAAAACCGAACGCATGAAAAAGTTTAATTTGAAGCAATTAACTATAACAACCTGCAGAACGATATTGAAGAAATTTCTCAAAATAAGTCATTTCAAGTATATGAGGATCTAGAATGGCAACTACTACAAACTATTGCAAAAAATAGAATAAGAAAAATAAAAGTGGTCAATCCGCCTTGCAAAGAGTGAATAAACAGGGGCCTAATTGCTTTAATAAATAAAAGGAACCAACTATGGTACACCTTAAAACAAACACCCGAAGATGAAAATTTGAGAACAGAATTTATAAAACAAAGAAACCTTACGTTTGCAAATATCCAAATAGCTAAAAAAATTTTTATCATAAGGTTTTCACAGATTGTAAGAAATGTCCTTTAAAACTGTGGCAACTAATTAATAGACTGTCAATTAATAAATCAGATCTGGCAGACCTGAGGTATTTAAAAATAAATACCCCCAATGGTCAAATCTCAAATATTAAAGAAATATGTATTTTAACAGATTTTTCGTCACTATAGGCCCTGAACTTGTAAATAAAATACCGCAAAAATATCATAAAAACTTTACACAAACACTGTCATACAACAAACCTAAAAACAACAACACTGATTTATCAAAATTAAACCCAACGACCGCAGACGAATTACTGAAAATAATAAAAGACTTAGATTCTAACGCTAGTTCTGGTTTAGATGGCATGAATACAAAATCCTTAAAGTGTATTAAAGACATTATGGTAGAAAACCTCGCGATTTGTGTTAATAAATGTTTAAGTGATGGCTATTTTCCTAATAGCCTAAAAACTGCAAAAGTAAGTCCTATTTTTAAAGCCGGAAGCAAACAAGACCCAAACAATTACCGACCAATATCGATACTTCCAGTAATGTCGAAATTATTTGAAAAACTACTACATGAACGACTATATGACTACCTGACTTCTATTGATTACCTCTATAAAAAGCAATATGGCTTCCGCCCAAAGTCTAACACTGTATCTGCAACTGTTGATTTAGTAACCAACATAAGACTTAATATTGATCAGAAAAAATTACATTAGGTATTTTTATTGACCTAAAAAAGTCTTTTGACACAGTCAGCCATGACATCCTATTATTAAAACTAAAAGACATAGGTATCACAGGAAAGGCAGTAGACATTTTTAAATCGTATCTTTTTGATATATTTCAAGTTGTCAAAATTAATAATCAGCAAAGCAGCCCCCAACCGGTTATTTGTTGCATTCCACAGGGATCCCTTTTGTTCCATATTTATGTAAACCACATATATGAAATGGGACTAAAGGGAGATATCATTTTATACGCCGACGACATCAGCCTCTTCTACTTTGGTCACTCGTTAGAATCACCTGGCTACAGTCAAACTTACTAACAATCAATGTCTCAAAAACAAAATACGTAATCTCAGTGCAAAAAATAAAAAAAAAATTAAAGTCACAATCATCTTTCAATTGATGGTGAAATATTAACCAAATTTAACAACGAGAAATATTTAGGCCTTCTTCTTGACGGTCAACTTACCTGGAAACAAAATATATATATATATATATATATATATATAAGTGTATATATATATATATGAATAAACTAACATATACATAATATTATATAATGGTTAAAAATATAGGTTCACAAAAATATATATATATATATATAAGTGTATATATATATATATATGAATAAACTAACATATACATAATATTATATAATGCGTTTGGAATAGTATGAATAAATAAGTTAGTTTTCTTTCTCTCGCGGCTCTACCCATAGCTCTTACCACACAAAAGGTTAGTTGGCAGAGAATGCCTTTGCGGCATTAAGATCGCCTTTGTACCAAATTGTTTTGTTTGAGTGCAATAAAGAGTTTTCTATCTATCTATCTATAATTATACTGACTCTATACATCTTTCAGAACGAAAAGTAGCAAAATACGAACTGCTGTTTGGTTGCAGAGGCTAATGAAGTGCAATGATACTGAATAATATTTTTATAGAAGTGTGAGCAGCTAACACGATATAATGGTAATTTATGTTTTTGCCATATGATAATTACACCAACACTTAAAAGAATTCTGCATTATAAAAAAGAGTTAAAAAGCAAATGCGTTGCAACTCCTGAGGTCAGAAGGTGATCAAGGAAGTAATCTATGTCCTATTCATTTTATCATTACGACATACGACATACCGGAGGCGATCATAGAATTAAAGTGCCTTTTATATGATGACTTGATTTAGGTCTCGGAAGAAGAAACACCTTGGAGCATGTTAGACTGCTGAGATCAATAATTACAGTCGGGAAAATATAGTTTATTATTCCAAACAAAAAAACAAGGGTTTCGCTCCACCACATTTATTATGGTTTAAGACATTAATTTATTTTCTCAAAAGATTTACAAACCACTTACAAAGAAAATACATATTATAAAGAAAAACAAAATATTAAGCCGATTGGCGTAGTGAGCTAGTATTATAATAATAGGTCGCTAAAACTTATTTTTTACTTGGTGCTTAATAATTTATTTAGTAAATATTACACATAAGTAAATAGGGTAGTTGCAAAAGTATTCGTACCAAAGCTAAACAGACCATCGTTACTTCGGTCAAAATTGAATGAATGTGGCGAGTTATTTGTTAAGGCCTATGACACATTAACTATTTTATTGTGTTCAAAATTAATTTATAGTGTTAGCTGTTATTGTTTGTGTTCATCTTCTAAAACCATTACTATATGTAATACGATACTATAATTAGGTAGTGTTTCTTTATTTAGTATATTATATATTCAGGTATTAATTTGTTTGTAATAATATAAGTAGTGTTGCACATACGCATAATGCAACGTATAAATACATACGTACACACATAAGTACATACTCATATATACACACATATAGATATAATATACACAAATATATGTATATACATAAGTTATCTTGTCTCATATCTATAATCATACTGTGTATAAGTGATTATATTGTATTATCTCTATACGACTATTTTATTGTAGATATTATTATTAAGGTTGCATGTGTACTTCATTATTTATAGATGATAATAACCCCTGGGAAGAGTGATCGCTTCCAAGCTATTTCTAATTTGTCTTGGGTTGTTGATTGTAAACATGATTGTAAGCTATTATTAAAAAAATAGTCCCGCTGGGTTTCTTGCTGGTTCTTCCCAGGACGAGGGTTTTTTTTGCGAACCTATATTTTATATATATTTTATAGTTTGTTCTATATAATCTCAAACATAGGTTATTAGCCTGTCTTGTCATACGTTTATGATAATCTATTTTTTTGTAAATGTTATTTGAGAGTGAGTAGCATTAGTAAGTATTTTCCTAACAAAAATGCATATTTTATATTTGTACGTTTGGGCTAGATTAAGTAATTTGGCTTCTTTATATATTTGAGTGGTAGGTGTTAAGTATTTATATTGAAATAATATTTTTATGATTTTATTTTGTGTAACTTGTAGTTTTTGCGACGTTGATTTAGTAGCTGAGCCCCATACCTCAATCAAATAATCTAAATGAGGCTTAACTAAAGAGTTATATATGGTATATTTGACATGTCTCGGGAGACATCGAACTATAGTTTTTAAAGCTCCTGTTAATTAGCAGATTTTACTATAGATCTTCTCAATATGTTGTTTC